ACAATTAAGTTATTTCAGAATAATTATTCTATGATAAGTTATTTTAATATACGAAATAATTTATTTTATTACAAAGGTAAAAATGATGAGATAAATAATTTTTAAGGCTATCTAATACCTTTAATCAAAGACAAAATAAAATAATCCTGCATTTTATCTCTGAGATTATTATACCTTATATCTCAGATCAAACGACTCCTAAATCATAAGAATCTTTTTTTTTTCTTAAACTCTGTGTCCTGTCGAACATTATTATTATATAAATGAACCAATCAATTATCTATGACCTAAATGATCAAACTTTCAACAAAAATTTCACTTTGTTTCATAAACTTAGGCACATGGGACAAGACTAACATAGTAATAGGGGCAGTTGAACTGAAGAAGACAGCCAATCTACTTACACACCTGGATATGAAATGCTAAACATAACACATTATAAATATATCTATCTTAGGCAATTAAAAGCATAAATATGATGGAAATGTAGGTGTTACCCTCACCTATAGGGTGTGATCAATTTTCTATCTATAAAGGATGGGCCTGTTTGATTTTATGATATTTTGGGAACTTGTGTCACATTCAGGTAAGTGAAAGATTTATATAGTCGATATTAAATATAATTATATTTAACGTTCAATTGTTTTAATGTTGGTGGACATAGGTAAGTGATACTTATGTTGATATAAATAATAATGGAGTAGTTACGATGTGCATTAAATTTAGGGCCTAACTAGAGTTTTGTTTATGAATTTGATCGAACTCAGTACTTTATTCCAAATTAGCATAATCGCGAGGACATGTGTAGAATTATTTGTCTTTTGTTTCTATTTTAACTTCATTCTTGTTGATAAAATTACAGGCAAATATATATGAGGGTTTTAAGAAGGCCATACCATGGAAGAGCAATAAGTCAAAGAATTATTCATCTTATAAATTTCAACACCAGCAGTCAATTTAATCTTAATGCAAATTGTAAGAGGGCTAAGCATGTTCTAAACTAATTAATATTCTTATAATGAGAGTTTTTATAAAGTAATTAATATTCTTATAATGAGAGTTTTTATAGTGTACTATTTGAGTTAGTTCACTTTTATGTATGGGGGCCTGACCCTACTCTTTCTTTATTAGGTAATAATGATTTTGTGATTATTTTGAATTCTTTCTCTTGTTTTATTATTATTATTATCTTAAAATATTTTAGGATGTTAAAAGTCTTTACGGTGTGAAGCAATTTGCAAATAATATTTCGAGTTATAGTTTAAATGACGGATCAAATTGTGCATCTACAAACAATATTTTCAAGTTAAAGTTGAAACAAGGAATACTTGGAGGTCGAGTTTTACAGTAAAACAACAATAGATAGTTAAGTATTGTAATTTGTAGTATAATTCGTAGGTAGCTGAATGTTGTAGTACTTTTATGTTTAGATTCGGGATGGTCTCTTCTTCCCATCTTCTCTTATTAGTTAGTATTCACATAATATCTTTTTTTTCAATTTCGACATGTTGCTTCATTTGCTCTGTTCATCTTGCTATTTAGCTATTGTTCAAAGAAACTTGCTTTGCTTACACTTCTATTGAGCCAAGGTCTACTGAAAAATAATTTCTCTATCCCACAAATATAAAAATAAAATTTATGTTTCTTATATCCCACTTGCGGAATTACATTAGATATGTTATTATTAATGTGTATTTGCACGAACCAAATTAAGAGATGTAATCCAAAGCAATTCAAATGATAAGGAAAAAAGCCTCTTACATTGCATTTATTACTGGCAATTTTTATATTTTTATAATCAACTTATTTTAATGACATTTCACATCATACATAATTAAATAGTAGTCTTAAGTCGTAGTGTGACTAAAATTTAGTTATATTAAAAAAAGAAAAGCATAATGCATAAGTATTTTCTCAATCTATGCTCAAAATCTCAGAGAAAGCATAATTTTTGTCAAAAAAAGTTAATTTTCCGTCTTTGAAACAAAATTAGGGATGTTTTGGCACTTCAATTTTCAACGAAGATTGCTGCAATTTTAGTGTAGTTCTTTGTCATTTAAATGTCTCTCTCTTTAATTTTTTTTAATTTATAAATTATAATATATATATGAACACCACATATCTTAATAAATGGGGGTACCAATTAATCCAGCCAAAACTTTCATTGATTTTTAAAAAACATTTCGGGTGGGTTTAAAATAGAATGGGGCGAGTTTTTTTATTTAATTTTGGGTAAAAAATAAATAAATAATCGGGTTAGTTGGTGAGATGAAGCCACATGTTCAACCGTTAGTAGCAAGGGTATACACAATCCAATATATTGATGGTAGAGGTATATACAACCTTAAAGTATAACGAAGGATATTAACATATTATTTACGATAATTTAGAGACATGTTTATCCTTATATATATGGAGGTGATTTTTCCACATAAAATATGTAAAGCCCAAAATAATATTTTTTTTAAAAAAGTCAAAAGTCAAAACTACATTTAACTGGGATCTAATACTAGTTTCATTTTTCTATTTGGTGATCACACAAGAATCGCCAAATGTAAATATCGAAACAATAAATTTAATTTATGATACAATCATTATTGTCAATAAACGTGTGGTGATTATAATAAACTATTTCATAAAAATATATCCCCTCAGTAAAACTCATGAGAAACTATTTAGCTATTACAACGTACTCAAACTAATGCACACCATATAAGACCTATTAAATGGGACACATTCTTTATCCATAGTTTTTTTTTTCTCATTTTCAAAGGAGCGAATTCAAGATTTTTTGTTTAGAAAGAAAGATTCAATCCATCACACACCATATTATTTGGTGGATGATCGTTTGGATCTTTCTTTCTTTCCATCTGCAAAAAAATACGTCGTTTTTAATTAAAATTTAACCTATAGTACTACAAAAAATACAAATTTGCCATGTCGCAGCAGAATTGCAATTTTGTTTCATGCGATAAATTGGATAAAATGGCTAATAGAATTGGGACAAGTTTGGCATCGGCCTTCTTTGCATCCCTCGAACGATGCTCGTGTATCACCATTAGTACATTCCACGACGACGATGATGATGATGATAATGAAGAAGGGAAAAATCGACCTTTTTTATTCACAAAACATGCTTCGTTTACCCAATCGAAGTTTTCATCTTCTTGACTTGATTTATTAAGATATCTATATGCATGCGTAAAGCTGCTAGAAAGATATGTATATGGTTGTAGATCGGGAAAAGGTTCAAATTTGTTTATTATGATCGATGAAATTGTTTTTATATTATTTCATAGGTCGTTATCAAATCGTCTTTGTATTTACTCTTATTTTGCTCCATTGTGGAATATGATGAGTTACACGTGTCCAATTGAGAGAGAAAAATTTATCTAAACAAATTTCACCCTTTACCCTAATGAATTGGGAAGATGGAAAAGATTTGTTCAGCTTTTGTTTTTTCACCTGAAAGTAAATAAGAATTTACAACTACTAACAACTTAAACTTTTAAGATGAGACGATAATACACTTTAATACTATCAATCACTGGCCTGACTAATCAAATTGACATCTTGGAAGCCCATTAACAGAGAAACACTTAGCTTTAGTATTTTTTTTTTATTTCAAGACACGATTTCATAACTTTTGGTTAAAATGAAGAAATCCCAATTTGCGGATGAATGTTTCTCTTTAAGTAAGGGTGGAGGTAGAAAGTTATGTACGACTTCAGTTAAACCTAGTAATTTTAATTTCAATCCTATATTTATATGAAGGAATTTACAAAATATGTATAATAATTAAATCTTACGTTTCATAATGTCTTGTATATATTATTTTCTAACTCTTTTCATCTTATTAAAAGCACAAATTGTAAGAAAAGTTTAAAGAGTGAGATTAATTTATAGGTTGTGTGACCTTTTAAGTTACTAGCACGTATGCACGTCAAGTAGCTGTGGTTGATTTGTAAGAATGACCTTAGAATGAATGGTCTTGAACCTTGGACTCCGATTGTCCAGATAAAACTTATCTTGTACGCTTTAGATTTTTTACCTTGAAGGTCTGCCCATAGGTCTAGTGATGCTCAAAAGTTGAAAGACACACTTTTTAGGTTATTAGGTGTAATTTTTGTTGGAGATGAATGGTTTTGAACTTTTTCCCCGACTTGATCAATATGTCAAATTTTTAGGACTTTTTTAACCTTGAAGATTTGCCCGTAGACAATAGAACAAGCAAAGTAAAAAAAGCGGAATAAGTTATTATTTCGAGATTAATTATCTTGAAACTAGTTATCCAACGAATGTTACTCCACCTTCAATGTGGGATTAGTTATCCCTTATACCAAACGAGTCCTATATACATTACAAAAGCAGCTACACGATATTATTTCTGTAATTATTTTTCCTTCATGATTTTTATGAATATTTTCCCTTAAAATGAAAGAGATGCAATTGTCTATTAGTCATAACACATTAGGAAAATATAATTGTACAAGAGAGGATTTAATTTAGGGCCCTCAGGCGTGCATAAATTGCTTATGATTTTGAGTGATAAAAAATGTCTACAAAAGGCCACACACTCAAATCTTTTTTAATACCCTTTTAGTTGCCCCTAATCATCTTGTCATCTCACGTGTTGCCAAATTCCATCTTCATTTTGAGCCGAGGATTTATCGAAAACATTCTTACAAGGTAGGGGAGAGGCATGCGTGTTGTACACACTACCCTCCTTAAAATCCACCTATGAAATTATACTAAGTTTGTTAATGTTGTTTAAACGCCTCTCAACCATACACACAACCCTACTCCAACCATCAGAGTCCGGATCAAAATTTTGAACTTTAGCGATATGAGTTTTGAATTTTATCATAACTCGTGTGATTTAACGGTGTTCCTAACACATATATAGGATCTGAGTCAAAGCTACTCGACTAACACTTCACATTGGCCCTACTGCTCATCAAACGTATATAGAGGAATTCATACAATTGAGTCACATTGGGGTCAATGCATGATCATATATACAGCTCTATTTGTCTAGCTTTACATACAAAACTTAGTAGAAGTTCTTTTTTTGTCTTTTTCTTCCTTGTTCAACTTGTTGCACATCTAAGACACAGTGTTTTTGTCAATTATGGCCAATACAGAAATATGAAATGTTTAAATATACAAAGAAGCAATAAGATTCAGCATCTACGATATGTACATTAAAAATAAATTTTGCCTCGTCTTACATATACCTATACTTTTTTCTCACGAATGGTGTTCAAATGAACCCCTTGCATCCCTACCTCCGCACCTGCTTAGTGAGTGATTATACGAGGGGCGGGGTATAATAAACATGTCATGCAAGTAAAGTGTGAACGTATGCTGCAGAAGTAGGGCAATAGTAAGTTGAGGAACAAGTAGCCTTCCCTACTCAAAAAGAGCAGGATTGCATTGCAAGCAAAACTCCACTTCCTCAGTCATAATCTATTTAACTTTTATGTACTCATATGATCCCAAATTAAGCAAAAATGTTGTATGGTCAGGGACTATAATGAGCTAGCTATACATTTTTTTTAAAAAAAACAAAAATTGCTCATCAGTGAGCATAATATATATGAATAAAGATTTCCCCAACAACTTATTATTACAAAACCATGTGAGAGGAATCATGGAAGCTATCAAATATAAACACACCTAGCCAACATCTTATGATTTCTCTTCCTTGTATATATTCATCAAGCCTTTAGTCTTATAACATGTCAATCTACTTTTATTCTCCCAACTTTCAACATGAAAAACTTGATCACTACTTTGTTTATTTACTTCTTAGTGATCTTGTTTCTCTGCAATAAACATAGCAAATATGTTGTGGGTTTTAGACCACAACGGCGAGGAGGCAGATCAACAAGATTCTACGATTTCAAGGTTTAATTTATTTTATCAAACAAATGATATTTACTTGTCACTGAAGTCTTTTTTTTTTCTTTTTCAGGTGCAAACTACTAGGGTTACCAAGTTATGTAACACTAAAGAGATACCAACCATCAATGGAATGTATCCAGGTCCAGTTGTTTATGCTCAAGAAGACGATAAAGTTATCGTCAGAGTTACAAATGAATCCCCATACAATATCACAATCCACTGGTAACTAGTACTTGAAAAAATCTACAATTTCTTCGCCTATTTTTCATCTCTTTTTTCACATTATGGCAAATTAAGCTTACCTGAGCTTCCAAAATTTCATCAGGCATGGCATCCGGCAGAGGCTATCATGTTGGTCAGATGGCCCTTCTTACATTACACAATGCCCCATACAAACTGGACAAAACTTCACTTATGAGTTCACTCTTGTACAACAGAAGGGGACATTTTTCTGGCACGCTCACGTCTCGTGGCTTCGAGCCACTATTTATGGTGCCATTGTTGTCTACCCTAAAAATGGTGTTCCTTACCCTTTCAACTTCCCATATGAAGAGCATATTATTATTTTAGGTACATTGATTCAGCAGATTTATCTTTCTTTCTGAGAAGAATATAAGTTATATATGCTAACAGTGTAAAAGAATAACTCTATTTAATGGATGTTGATTGATCACCTAATGTAAATGGTAATCAACTTGCTATAACAGACAAACTACACCATTAGTATAAACAATCTTTACGCCACCGATGCATATAACTTGAACACTTTTCAGAATAAGAACGTTATTAAAGAAATTTTTTCCTCAAAAACATCTGAAAACAATCTTATTTCTGAAGAGTGTCTCAAACGATTTAACTTAGATACACCGACTTTCTAAAAGCTTTTGCTATTCTCAAAATTGGGAGTTTAACAGGAGAGTTTTGGATGAAGGATATGGTGCAAATTGAGCAGGCAGTTTTAGCTAGTGGCGGAGCCCCACCACCGGCTGATGCTTTTACCATCAATGGCCAACCCGGCCCTAATTATAATTGCTCTGCTGATGGTAATTTTTTACATTCATTATGCAACTTTTTACTTCCAACTTTTGAATCCAAAAACAGGAGAAAATGACAAAAGTTGCATCATTACTTGTCATATTTGTTACTCCTTCCATCTCAGTGATGCACTTTGACTTGACACGGACTTCTTTTAAAAAAAAAGACTTTTAAGACTTCTTGTCCAAAACATGCGATAGATATTTGTATGGCTATAAATCATCTCCTTAAAGATAAAATCAGAAGTTTCAAGTTAATTTGTTTCTGAAGTATAGAAATATGCCATTCTTTTTGAAATAAAAACAAAAGAGAAAGTGCATCACACAAACTGGGAGACGAGGAGTACTTTTTAACTGTTTCTGTTAGCTAAAACGTGTCAGTGATTTGTTTCAGATATTTTTAAAATATATGCGGTTCCAGGGAAGACATACTTGTTAAGGTTAATCAATGCAGCTTTGAACCAGGAGCATTTCTTTGCCATTGCAAATCACAGATTGACAATTGTTGAAGTTGATGCAGAGTACACAAAGCCATTGACCACAGACCGAGTCATGCTCGGGCCGGGGCAAACCCTAAATGTCCTAGTCACAGCAGATAAACCTATAGCAAAATATTCAATGGCCATGGGACCTTATCAATCTGCTAAGAATGTCTCATTTCAAAACATAACAGCAATAGCTTACTTCCAGTATTTTGGTGCCACAGCAAATGACTTAAGTTTACCTGCAGCTTTACCACATTTTGATGATAATCTTGCCGCTAAGACAGTCATGGACGGGCTTAGAAGTCTTAATCCTGTTACTGTTCCTAAAGATATTGACAGAAACCTATTCGTTACAATTGGACTAAACGTGCAAAAATGCCGGTCCAAGAATCCCCAAAAAGATTGTCAAGCAAAAGGTGGTGGAGTCATGGCTGCTTCCATGAATAACATCAGCTTTAGTAAACCTAACATCTCAATTTTGGAAGCTTACTACAAGAACATCAGTGGGTACTTCTCTCAAGATTTTCCTGGGGTACCCCTGAAGTTCTATGATTTTGTGAATGGGGCACCTAATAATCCTCCTAATGACACAAATTCACTGAATGGAACTAGGACCTATGTCCTTCACTATGGGACCAAGGTTCAACTGATCCTACAGGACACCAGCACCGTTTCCACGGAGAACCACCCTATTCATCTTCATGGCTACAGCTTTTATGTTGTTGGTTATGGCACCGGAAACTATGATCCAGATACAGCCAACTTCAATCTGGTGGATCCACCATATATGAACACAATTGGAGTTCCAGTAGGTGGATGGGCTGCCATTCGATTCGTTGCTGATAATCCAGGTAACAAATTAGAACTTAAATCTCATCTCATAATCATTACAGTCCGTTGTACTAAACTCACGGATGGACCATTTTCATGCACAGGGGCATGGTTTATGCACTGTCATTTGGAGATACATTTATCTTGGGGCTTATCGGTGGTGCTCATTGTGAAGAATGGGGAAGGGCCATTAGAAAGACTTACTCATCCTCCAAAAGACTTGCCCAGATGCTAGATGTATGTGTGTTTATTAGGGTGGAGGTTGATAACAACAAACCTGGAATGTTTATATGTTTCCAATTGGAGATTCTTTGACCCACCAAGTGTGCAATAGCTGATACACTGTTTTTCTTTATTCAAAGAATTGGCAATTGTTGACATTTATAAGTCCGTGTAATAGAATCGGAACTTGTCTTTCATGTTCATTTGTTTGTCTTTTGCATCATGATGAAGCTTCCTTTACGCGGCACACAGACATATGCAGACAGGTAGGGTTTTGGATATAGGAAATTGGAAAATGATTGATCACTAATAAGAAATATAAGAAAAGTCAAATTGTAAGTATGGGAACCAAGAAGCTTCTAGTAGTCCCAGTTTTCTTCTAAGCTTACTAAGAATGAAAGCGGGTAATTCCAAGCATGCCTTTAGGCGGTAGATAACTAACTAATTACTCAAAGAAACAGAGTGTTAACATTTCCTTCAAGTACAACTAGCAAGTGCTTAGCACAAGCGTTTTGGTAATTCAAATTATCACAACAGTTCAACCATAAACTTTGTCAATTTATAGATTGGTAAATCACAATTCACAAGATAGAATTGAAGGGATCCTGTAGGAGAAATTTGAAAGCTACCAGTAGTCTCTGAATAAAATGTTCTGAATGGTGAGTGGCTTCCAGCTAGTGACAAAGTATACCAGGGACCACAAACAGAAACTGAAGCATTAGAGATTGGGTAGAGGTACCTTATTACGCATGTGCTTCAAATTCAGCTGATTTCTTTCATCAGGAACTGTGAAATCTAAAAAATCCATTTTTAATTTACAATTAAAATAATTATAGATCATACTTTAACAACTCAACAAAGACACCTGAGTACAAGGATAAAAGTGTCTACAAACTAGATCGACTCTATAACTTGCAAGGCTAGCACAACCAACTCTCAATCACAGAGTCTTGGCAGAAAAACAATATAAATAGGCCCTTTACTTTTACAAAGAGGGATAATCATCTAGCATGCCCTTTCTTGGGGACACTTCTAGCTTGAATGAGTATTCCAATCTCATTAAACAAAGTAACAGATCTTACTCAGGATTGGAATAACTTGAAATACTAGTTTGGGCAAGAAGCTTTGCAGGGAAGGCTAACCTACTTGTGAGGTATCTCAGAAATAATATGATGGTCCAAAACATAGATCATCATAGCACAGATCAGAAGTAGAGCGCATTATGAGAAGAATAGCAGAAGTCTTTGGTAGCCGGGTATGCAACCATGACTAATATAACCTATAGAGTTTTCCTATATCTCATAATTCTGACAGATAAGTTCTATATTAATGTAATGGAGATCGTATTACATATGAAATATTTAGTTTATTCAGTCGAAGAGAACAATATTCCTTTCAAAATTATCTCAATAATACTAAAAAGATTCATCACGGTGCATATACCAATAGTCTGATTGGGATAATCTGTGAGATGAAAAATCAAAATCATGGATTGACTTTATTTTGTGTCCAGAAGTTCTCACCATTGACACTTCGTGCAGTAGTAAATGCTAGCCTCTCATTACTCTTCAAGTTCAGATAATCAACCTGTAAGTAACACAGATAGTGAGATGTTACGGATGAACATTCTTCTTCGTGAGAGTTACATGACCAGGGACAAACTCAGACCTGCTCAGGGTCCAGAAGTAGAAGGCAGAATGCATCGACTGGACCAGCAGACGAATCCAATGAATCATGTGATTGTTGTTCATCTAGAGAAGGAAGCCCTGGAGTAGGCCCCAAATATTGTAGCCTTGATCTCACAGAACCAGCAAACCAAGCTGTCTCTCTTTGCTGAATTGTTATTATCAGAATATGCAGAAGAAAATATATTATTTACCAAGAGAAAAAAAACTGAGGCAGTAAGTTTAATTACTGCATCAAGTTGATGAAGTAGATCTCTATTTATAGAGATTAACAGTTCAATACAACAGATTGTGTGATAAAAAAATATCAATATCTTACATAACAAGACATCTCATCAAGTGACCAGTTATGAAGCAAATGTCATTTGAAGCACCAAGCAACATTGATAACTTTTGAAATGTTCTGAATTGATCATGTAGCTTTTTATGAAGTCTTTTACCCTATTAAGCTAATTATTTTTTACATGTTTGAAATAATCAACAGAATTAAATACAAAACCAGAATATACGGGTTGCCAGATGATTCAAGGTATCTAGAGCAGAAGTATGCAAGCAATATAATTTTGTTGAGGAAACCACCACTGTTTCACTATGAAATACTTGCAAGAAAATGCCCTTAGTAAAATCAGAAATGCACGGTATTGAAGCATAGCAAAGTGCTGAACTGTACTCTGAGATTTGAGAAATCACGAGTTAACCCTACAAATGAAATAGGGATTTAAAGAGTAAATATTCGTCTACGAGAACTTTTTTTACCAGAAATTGCAACAGAAAAGAAATAAAGGAGGTTTGTGATGATTTTCAATCTTTTCTACTAGGTAATCTAGTATCCTTACGCATGAAGATAATCAATTTGGTCTTAGTGGTTGGACTCTATTATAGATTTCTGACCACATTCTCCATAGGCTCCTCTTATCTCTTCATTCTCCGAGCTCTGGTTATGGAAGTAGGAACCGGTAATACAGAAAGTTTCTAAATGAATTTGTTGCTTTCCAGTTAGAGCTTTTAACACATCTTAAAATAAGCTAGTGACACTTAATTCTAGATAGAGGCACATGCTCTGAAACTGCAGGTGATTGCAAGTCTTAGATATATCACTACTAGAACAAAAATAAACTCACAAATTATCACATGTATAGGTAAAAACAACATGAAATAGTAAAGATCCTTCCAGAATTACCTTAAGTTTATCGGGGTCAGAGTTTGATGCATCAATCATATCGACTCTTCCATGAATTCTGAATTGTTCCCAAGTTTCAGTGAAATACCAGCACACCTGAATCATTACCAGATTTGTTCAAACAGCGTTGGATTAATTACAGTGTGTTTCACATTTTGCAAAAAGTCGAACGGGAAGCAACTCTGCTGTGCATTTACACATTAAGCACTAAGGCCCAATTCAGAAGCCATGGAAAAGAAATGAGACAAATCATTTATATTCTCTCTAGCAATAATGAATTAACAAAGTATCAAATACCTCTGCAAATGGGCAATGCTTAAGATCTTCAATCTGCACTGATTTAAGTAAACCTTCATCAGTTCTAAGCACAATACACAACTTAAATGGCAACAACAACAACATGTCCAACGTAATACCACTAGAAGAGCCTACAAAAGATTGTTTGTATGTAGCCTTACTCCTACGTTGTGAAGATAGAGAGGCTATCTCCAATAGACCCTCGGCTCAAGTAAAGCATATCAAAGTAAAGTATGTAAATGAAATACAGTAGTGAAGAAGTCATAATACTCCAAACAAAAGAAAAAAATATGATAACCGAAGCAAAGTAAATAATTATTAACAATAAAATTGAAGATAATATTGATTAAGGATCACAACTTGAATTCCCTCTATGAAAATTCTGGCTCCACTACTACTACCATCAAACTAGAAATTGTAAATAGTTTATGATATGAACTCTTGTTTTCTTTTTTACTCCTCCAAGGAAGCTCCCACCTTTTTTTACTCCCTAGGTGACACTATTGAAGGTGTTTACTATCCGAGCAAACTCATATTAATAATTTGAAAGTTGCAGAACTTTATTAAAACAAAAGGGTATCAACAATTTTTACATTTTTTTTATAACAAAAAACAGTCAATTTCCAAAATTACAAACCTTGCAGCTTCGTGAGTCAGTATTAATTTGAATCTTATCAGTACCATCTTGAAACCCTCTAACAAAAAAAAAAGAAGATAAATTACACACAATGAAAATGAAGAAATCAGTGAATTTAACGCTTAAGGGGTGAAGCAGACCTGAAGACGACAGTTCGATTTGAGGGTCTTCCATTGGATCCAACAGTTGCCTAATGCAAGAAGCAAAAGTAAATCATAAAAAAAACAAACTGATTCAACAACAAAAATTAGAATGAAGACGAAGAAATGCAGGAATTTGTACGAGCTGAAAGTAGGTTGAATGCTTAAGATGGGAATTGGAGTTGATGGAGCTGAGTAGAAGCTGCTTCCATGGTGCTGAGCTACTACTCATTTTCGGCTATTTTCCCAAATTATTGGAACAATTTTTGCCTGCAAGAAGCAAACATTGAAACTAACTCCATAGAAATAGTTCCAATTTCACTCTACCAATAATTTATCAAGATGGGTTTTTTCTTTTGGGTAAATAAATATTACATAACCAAATTATGAGTTTCCTATTTAATTATTAAAAAAACATATTTACCTAATTAATTAAACTTAAATATATTGATATACTTTTGATATGTCATATGACATAGCAATTCAAACTCTAATAAAAGTATAAGTTCTTAATAAAAATCGAGAGAAGTGTTGAAATAACCTCTAAATTTGATAAGAATTTAGGGATGCATTTCATTAATATTGTAAAATCAAAGATGTATTTAAGTTTGATTAGACAAGTATTTTTAGAACGGTCAATAATTTGAAATGAAACTAATAATTTAAAATCAAGTATAAAAATGTGTTTAGTACTTCTTACTTAAAATAACTTTTGAATAGCATATCCATTTGTCCACTAATTCTTTTTAGTGGACAAAAGGTAAGAACTTGTGTTTAAACAATTTTAACATGTATGATACTTTTTTGGAGTTGTTTAGGGTGATGTACAAGGTAGAGTAATCTCAAGGGGAAATATAGAATTATTATTAAGTGTTAGGTAGTTCTTAAATTATTTATCTCATTATTTTTATATCTCATATATATAGTCGAATAATTTATTTCAAAATTAATTATTTCAAAATAATATATTTTTTACTAAGTCACTTTAGTTCATTTTTGTTCTTATCCCCTTACGAGGAGGTTTAACTCGATTATGTCCTTAAATGGTAAACTTCAGATTTCTTTTTTTGAGAAATATTACACATAAAATTTATCCATTTTGCGAGTTCCAATAATAGTAAAAGCAAATGTGAGATGATTTACCAGTGATAAAGATATAAATGGATTAAAAATTAAATTGATGACAAAATTGAGTAACTTTCGATAGTACAAATTTTAACATAGTGGAGGATAGTGTCATTTGTTGCCTATTCATCTGCTAATTGAGTTACTTTATTTTAAATTAAGCGCGATTAGAATCTATTCATAATTTAGCAACATATTTTTCATTTAAATAAATGAATATTATATTATCAAGTTCTACTTATCCATCATAATTGTTAATAATTAACACATACAATTTTAGCCTAAAAGACACGTCTCATGATCAATTTCACTATATTTTGACTTGTAACTTTAGAAGCAGAACACAAACCTATTTTCATTATTTGTGTGGCGAAGATAAAGTCAACACAGTTTTCATGGTGCTTCGATCTACCTTTATAGTCTGGTCACCTTATTAGACTCAGATAAAAAAATGAAATCACCCCTTAGCCTAGTCTAACCTTAGTAGACTCAGACAAAGGGGGAAGCTGGTGATGCTTCTAAAACAAAGAAGCTAGAAAATAACTAGAGGAAAGCACACAACAAAAGTCAAGCAGGAATCATACAGATTTTCTGTACTGCAATCTTCTGTGCCAAAACATAGACTCAGGCGATTACATGAACGAGACACTCCCAAAATATAACATTTAGGCATAATACATAAACAAGACTCAAACGTGTCCTTTGTTGGCAAGTAAACGTTTCAACTTTGAGTATGCACATCTAGACACCTCAACTTGTCACCATTGTGTCAATTGAGCACTCCAACTTACAAAATGATCATCTAGAAACCTTCAAAATTTATGTGTCGTGTCAGCATCAGGTGTCCATGAGATATAGCGAGGACGAGTGGAGTGTTAAGTTGTACGTTAAAACCAAGATGAAGTGTTGAGATGTACAATCCCAAAAGTTGAAGTGCTTACTTACTAACTATGGCCAAGTTATGAATGTATGCATAAGCATTATGCCTAAAAGTTACTGTCGACTTAGAGTAGGATCATTACCTTTCACACATGGATAACCAAAGAGTAGTTTCTGGACAATATGTATTGTATGTTAAGCAAACACAACAACTTCATCATAAAATCGATACAACATCAAGAATACGCTCTGTGTAAGACATTGAGATTGATGTCACCTAGCAGTTCCCCGATTCAAAGACCTGTGTTCTACGATGACTCTTCCATGACTGTTTCCGTAGCCAAGCTTCTCTTCCAGGTTTTCAACTGCTACTTTGACAACATCACTTCGAACGCCAATGTCAGTTGCATATCTATTCATACAATACATCCCTGCTGTTAGTGTGGCCACACCAACAGGACTAGGAATTAGCAGCTTCAGAGGAGAGGAAAGAAGAGCAGCTAAAGGAGCACCAATGATGGAAGAAGCTTGTCCGCTACTACCAACACCGCGACTATCAGCTGTTAGAAGGCCTGTTTTGCAGTACAGCGCAAAGTCCTCACAATTGTTAAGGAACACATTATAGTGCCCGAATCCATTTTGAAGAAGATACATTGCTCGGTGTATGATCATCTCAGGAGGGTCTGATGCTGCAGTAGTGCAAGTGCCCCCTCGCACTCTGGTAAGGAAAACAGATGGGCTTACTCCATAATCAAAGTTGTAGAGTGAACCATCACGGAGAAAGCAATCCAGACAAGAAAGAACAACGCCACTGTTAGGTAGCTTAAATCCACAGTCGGGAAAGGTTGGACATGAAGAAGAAAGGTCTGACATTTCATCATCGTCAGCATCAGAAAAGGCCTCAAGACGGTTAAAATGGACCACTTTGCTTCCGCCAACAAAAATACCTATGAATACCACATTCTTAGAAGACTCAACATATAAAAAAAATGTACTTATCTGCGGGAAGAAAAATTGACCTTTCTATTCAATACTAATTCGAGCATCGTAATTTAAATAAATATAAAGAAAATGGACTTGTAGATCAGAGGAATTGCAGTCATATATTGCATGTAAGATAGATTTTACAGCAAGGTTCAGACGAGGTACAGAACCAACTCTTAGACATTAAGTGTTTGCTTCATATCTTTTTAATTAGAAAGTATGCATCTCGAGAGACCATGTGATAGCCTGAGAAGCAGTTTTTTTGGTTTGTTGGAGTTGAACAAGCACAAATAAGAAGCCACGGTCGTTCAAATTTCAGCAATAAAGCATCCATAAGACCACAGCATGTCAAACATATAACACAAAAACTCCAGGAGACCACCTCTAGCCTATCAATCAATTAATCTGCACCTTAAATCCTCTAAAATTGCTAGTTTTACCATCAAATCGTAATTTTGTGCAGTAAAAACTGAAGTCCTGTATTGTTTCAATTGTACAATGCAAGATTCATAGAAGAAGATTTCACATGAATGTCATGAATCCTCACTTTGATCATACTGATATGCTACCACGAAGTAGCATTTAATATAGTCATCACATCCAGAAGGAGAGTAATAATCATTTTGCTAGGTTTTGTTGTAACTTACTAAAAAGATAGAAGAGCACATGTTACAGCAACAATACTTCAAATAATTCACCTATGTGGCTACAGCATTTTTCTCTATTTATATTCAGATCAACAGCTCTCTTAGCTACAAAATGACAATTTAGTAGCCATAATGTAGAAATCAACATATCGTGACGTGCATACCTACCTTTCAACTAAATTTTCATGGAGGAGATAACCTTACAATCCAACAGAATCCAACTTACACCATTTCAAATTGCAGTGTCGTTTAATCATATTAACCAGGCAATAGGACACACAAGAATATCGATCCATCTTTTTTAGCACCTTTTTTATTATAATGATAGTATTTCACAAGGATTAAGTACTATTTGTTAGACTGAAAATAATTAAAAAGTCTAGAACTGGTTAAGCTAATATATTAAGACATCAGGGTGGATCTAATAACAGGCTTTCCAAGATGGAAGGTTTAGGAACTATATTTCCGTGTTGTAACAGTTACTCTCGGTTCTCATTTCATACTTACTCTAGAATAGAAGAGAAGAATCTAACTCTAGTTTAGGTAACTTTGGCAAACGTAAGGATATTGACACTTATTTCACACAATGATTTTCTAGAACTAAGTTGCACGGACTCTTCGCTTTCGATGCTGCACTCGTGTCGGATTCTTCAAAAAAAAAACACTACTTTGGAGAATCCGACACGCACCCATTGACATTTTTGAAAATTCCAAGCAACATAGTTTTGGAAATAGCTACACATATACCCTAAATGGATATAACACTCAAACCGTTTGTCATTCAGAATTTCACAGCTCATCTCGGCCTTATTTAAAAGCGCTATTGAAATTACTAAATTCGATATACTTGTTTTTGAAATCTGATGCACACATGATTTAAGCCAGACACACATCTCAATTCGAAACCTCCATATGTACAAGCAAGTTACTCAGGACTCAATCACGAAACTTATCAGGGTTGGGGTATAGAGTCGTAAGTGCAGTGGAGGGTGACAGAGGACGTGCTCGTACGGTTCATAGACGGATATGAAAAAGTACTTATTTGAGGCAATATCCATGTATTCAAAATTTCATGCAATCAATAGATACACATATCAACGGTTCATAATGAACCTCCATAGATATAAGCGACATACTTCAATACTAACAATAACAACACACTCAATATAATCCCTCTAGAAAGGGTAAGATGTGTGAGACCTTACCTATCTCTGGAGAGTAGAGAGTTGTTTCCGATAGACCCTCAGCACAAACAAAAACTTCTCAAAGCCACTTCCACTCTACTTCATCCAAAATCACATAAAACACAAACAAACATATATATACCTCCATATACAGATAAAGAATAATCTACTTATTGGCTCATTGCTTAATGACAAAATTTAGGAAACAGCCTCTCTACCTCCCAAGACGGCATAACGTCTGAGTACACACTAGCATCCCCACACCCCACTACTGGGATTACACCGTGTATCTTCTTCTTGCTGTAAATTATATCCAATTAGAGAGACAGAATAAACAATGAAATCACACCAGAAGCTATTTTCACTTAACAATCCCAAACAAATCTAATTAGGTTCACTAATTCACATGATAAAAGACAAATCTTGACTGTCAAAGCCAAATGAAAACATTCAAAATGGGGAAAATCACAGATAACAGCAGCTTTCTAAGAAGGAAAAGTGGAGTAAACTAAACACACAAAC